TATCTACATATTAATATCTGCATCAGCGCATGTAATAATAATTCACTACAACACAAAAACTTGTGTCAATTGTTGTCTATATTTTGGAGGGCGTGAGTCCTTTGAGCTATGTTTGGGAGAAGGATTCTAGCCCTGTGAACTTATAGACCGAATTAGTAAAAAATGAATTATAAAATGCTAGATACGAGAGATTACAAAAACACCGTATAAGCATTGTAAAAGACATGTAAAAAAAATTTGTAAATGACTTAAACCAAGTAAGGATTTAAAAATCACTCTCGACTCTCATATGTTTTTGTGATGCTCATATAATGCTTTTCTAATCTCTTTCATATAAAATATTGATATGACTTAACCGTGACCACACAAACAAGAGGGCACGGAAGGGTAGACGATCCTTGTCCCTTCGAAAAACCACTCACCCAAGCCTAATTTTGACAAGGAGTCCTAGGACTATAGGGCCTGTCTCCCGTATTTATGTGGAGAGCTTTTACTCCCTAGCCTTCTTGTGCTAGGCTTGTTCTTCATTGCCTCTTTTGCAAGGTTTTGTCTTCTCCCTAGGTTATAGGGCTTTGGATCAGGCGAGTTCGGTCAGAAACTTTCCAAATTTACCTTCTGATACGCTGGATTTTGTCATTGATTTTCTTCTTTCAACATATTTGCGGTTGGTCTACCTTACATGGTAAGATCCTTGATGGATCTGTTTTGTTACACGGGAATTTCTCTGCAAATTGTGTTCTATCTAAATTCTATCCCTGAATATAGATGTTGCAAATCAATGTTGTCTTCTATCTAAATTCTGTTAAAAAAATCTATTATGTGTTGATGTGACACACATAAGATTCTGCACTCTAATAATCTGATTACACATGGATTAAAGAAAGTGTTTCAAAAATTTTAAAAGGTAAAATGAAGAAAAACAACAAACTAACAATCCTCATCTTCTCCTTCTTTGAACTCAGCCACCGACAACAATCTCCATATTCACAGACGACATTGATCAATTTTCAATTTCAGGTATCATTTTGATGCATTTGTCAATTTCATGGACCATCTGTGATAAAAATATGAATTTGACTACAATATTTACATGTATTTAATATATCAACATCTTTAGGATATAATTTGGCCACCTATTTAAATGTTAATTATGTAGAATGTCTAAGTGACGAACTTATTAGAAAAGAAATCCATATTTGTGTCTCAAATTTATCTATTAGCTTAACTGTGTTGTTCATGTCAAGTTTCTAAGAAATAAATTGTGTCCAACACCATCTGAAAACGAAAAAAATAGCCCTTTTTCTGATTTGAGAATATATTTATATATATATATTTTTTAATTTATTTATTTATTTATTACAATTGATCTTATTATTAATAATCTAAGTTACAATATAAAGATCGGAGCGTTTAAACCGGCAACACAATAAATTAAAGAAAAAAGTCATATTCTTCAGACAATCCGACACTTACATAAAGATATAAAAGAAATCAAAAGGAAAAACTTCAAAAAAAAAAAACCATGCATGAAATTAAGTGCACGTCCACATTAAGCAAGCGAATGGCACAGAGTGACAGACGGCAAAATAAACGTAGTTCGAAATTAATCTTACACGACTTGGACTTCTTCACCAACACTCAAATCAAAAGCAAAGGTGGGTTGGAATTTGCCCTGTTTGACTAGTGGTATCGTGGCCCATTTCTGGGCTTATTTGGATCGGTGTGCTATGGTCCATTACTGGGCTACATGCTGGCTTGCATGAATTAATGTCGTGGCCCACTCCTCTTGAAACTCAGCCTGAATTATTGCTGAAATCTAAATCTGCCATCTCAGTCTCTCCAGAACTGTTGTCGGGCCCAGATCCATCAGATGGGCTGCCTGAGCTGTCCTGAGCTGTCCCGTTCAAGTGGGACATCAAACCCACCATATTCTTCATTTGTACTACGCAACTCCCGCTGAAGAGTAGAGTGGTTTGATTAGTGATGACGAACATCTCTGTTTCGAAAAATGTGACATCCATGATGACATAAAATTGCTTATGGGTGGATGGTAGTTGGCTATTAAACCCTAAAAGAACTTTGACAGGACAAAAGGGAAATTTGACTTCCAATCATGCGATAAAACAATTGAAAGATTTGCCCAACATCAATCTTTTGTTTCATAATATAGAGCCAAGTCATTCCAGTGTAATTATCGACAAACTTAACATACTAACGAATACCATGGTGAGTTGCTATTGGTGAAGGCCCCAGATATCTGAATGAATTAACTCAAAAGGCACTATTCTTTTATTGAAACTCAAATGATAAGAAGTACGATGACTTTTTGCAAGAATGCAATCATTATATTGAAAATCAGAGTTTGAAACACCATTAAATAAAGACAAAAGTATTTTTTTTTTTTTCTAAATAACGAAGGATGCATGTCCTAAGTGACGATGTCATAGCCAAATTTACTTGATATTGTTATTGTGACCACTGCAGACTTGGTTGACTCGGCCCATTACCACTTCATCCACATAATATAACCCTCTCCTCTTAGTACCACTCCCAATGATCGTGGTACAAGAGGTCCTATAAAATAGGAAATAAAAATTCCAATTATACAAGGAATCAATCATATGATCACATTCCCAAACTATATGGTTGATTCACACCAACAAATAGTTATAAAGGAAATACAAATGATTAATTAGCTGATATGTTTGAGTGTGCTAAGGTTGAGTCAAACTGATAACCGTGCAACTCAAGTTCTCTTGCTTCTGTTCTCCCAGTAATCTGAATCAGGATTGACGGGATATAGATCGTGAGCAGACGCAGACGAAGCAGTCCATGGCCCTTCAGTTGACCCCATTTCTATCTGTTTCTCGCCTGTGCCCCTTCCAAAACTAGATTGAAAATGTTTCGTCATTGCATTAATCTTAATACTCTGTGCATTTGGATTCGAGACCAACTCATGAACAACAGTCTTTCCTTCGAGCATGCTCACAACTGAAGACATGGTAGGCCTAGCTGTCGAAGTAACATTGCAACAAAGGAGAGCCACATTGATTGCAACAATCATCTCCTCTTTATTAAAGTCTGATCCCAACCTTGGATCAACTAGGTCCATCAAATTCCCCTGATCTTTTAGAAGTCGTGCCTACAAAAAATGGAAGTAACAAAAGCAATATAAATTCTGTCTTTGGATTAAACTTCATCGATTCAAATGTACTTTCACACATATAAGGCATATTAAGAAAATTTGAAAGTTAAATTAGGAAGTAGTAGATTCATGTTACCCAATCAAGAAGATAAAAGCTTTCTTCCTTTTTCCGGTAAGTTGTGTTGTTTCTCCCACTAACAATTTCCAATACAAGAATACCAAAACTATAGACATCTGCTTTATCAGTCAGATAACCCCGCATTGCATATTCGGGCGCCATATATCCACTGCAATATCATGAAATCATATCATTAACCCATATTGAGCTAAAATAATTAGTAAAAATATTGCTAATTGAATACTTCCAATAGTTAGAGAGATAATCAGTAATACAACTATATTGCAAGAACATATCTGCCCTTCAAATTTCTTGAACAACAAGGATTTGGTTAGGTTGAAAATTATGTAAGTTAGAGACTTTCCTTTTGCTCTATCTTCTTTTTTCAGGGTGGAAAAAGATTAAAACAAGAGAATAAGAAGATAAATAAAAGTGTAGGGACTCACTAAGTTCCAGCAATACGAGTGCTAATGTGTGTATTATCCTCTTCATCAAGTTTGGCCAATCCAAAGTCAGATATTTTCGGGTTAAGATTTTTATCAAGCAGAACATTAGTAGCCTTGATGTCTCTATGAACGACCTTCAATCTTGATTCCTCATGAAGATAAGCCAAACCTCTTGCTGTACCAATGCAAATCTTGTGTCTTGTTGACCAATCCAACTTCAAATGACTTTCTTTTTCCCCTTCAATTTGCCAAATTAAACAATGTTAGTTGTAAAGGACATATTTTTAGTGCATAAGATCTTTTATGCCCACTGTATGAATGAAATAAACTTTTGGCAAACGAGATTGATATTTACTGAACAAAGCATGAGCGACGCTATTATTTTCCAGGTACTCATAGACGAGCAATAGTTGATTTCCTTCAATACAACATCCGTGGAGCCTGACAAGATGAGGGTGTTGCAAAGCAGAAATCATGCCAATCTCATTAACAAATTCACGATTTCCTTGCTTTGATTTGGAAGACAGCTGCTTAACAGCTATTACGGTTCCATTAGCTAGAACACCCTACAGTTGAGAAAGATAGTCAAACTCTCATCACTATATGGAGCAAATTAACTTTCATTAGAATGGACAATATCAAAGTAGAAAAAAAAAATGTAATATATAAATAAATATTGGCTCCGAAGAATACCTTATAAACAGAACCAAAACCACCTTCACCAATCTTATTGGCTTTGTCAAAGTTGTGTGTGGCATCTTTGAGTTGCTTGAAGGTAAATTTACCAGTTTGCAGGTCCACACCCTTCAAATCTGTATAACAAGTAAAACTCATAAGAAATTGTGTCAAATAAAACTTTGAGAACAATAGCATTCTTAGTTCTTAATATTTTGTACATGATTCTAGAATTTAACTAGTAATTGGATCCATAGGTAGACATTGTGCATCATGAGTCTGGACTATAAATATATTATAGCAACATCAAAGTGCCAGAAAGCTCAATATCTAAATAATTACTGTCCTTGTGTATGCACGTCAATGTGCAAGAGAACCATGCAAAAAATAGCACAAATATTGTTCTTAGTCACGAAAAAAAGTTCGATAAGAAAAAGTAATGGAGAAACAAAAAGGAAAAACCAGTACAACAGAATAAACTGCAAATTAATACCATCCTCCAATGTCTTTTTTCGTCCTAGGAGGCCTCTCTTCCAAAGAATACCAAATATCAGTAGTATAATGAAGACTCCTCCAACCACAATTCCAACCACGGCACCTACAGGCATAGAAAATTCTGTCGGGGGAACAAAGTCTGCCAAAAGAAAGAGTAGCTTAAATTAGAATAAATGTAAATGTAATTGATATGAGAGTGGATTATTCAACCAACTATCTAATGCACACAGAAACAGAAGATTGAACCCAATCTTTGAGGCATCCTTAAATAAGCAGATAGTATATGAAGTAATCCCTCGAACAAACTTTCTTTGGATGGTTGTAAATTTTTAATGTTTCCTCAAGTGAAATGGTTAGTTTCCATGTAAATATTAAAAATCCTTGAAGTTGAATTTTGTTGTATTTAAAAGCGTCAACATGTTACCAATAAAAAAAAAACAACATATTATGCGATAAGAAAATTTAAGAGAGTATTTCCTCAAGTCTTGTCTCAAACTACGTGGAGTAAAACACGAAAAACACATAAGCATTATCTATTCTAAAGTTGGAGCGGGATTGGCATGTTCATGGCTACAGTCAAGAAAATGCCCCCTTGGTTTCACCTTATTTGCAAGAAAGCCATCTGATTTGGGGCTGGGTTGGAGGGTAATTAGGAAAAGATAGGAGGGTAATTTTGTCTCTCTAAAAAAACCTATGAAAAGATAGAGAGAGCTGTCAGCTTGCAGAGAGGGATGGAGGGAGAGAGAAAGAGAGAGCCTGAAGAATACCACCACTTCTCCTGAACGAGGGTTAGCTGTGCAATTCCAGTTCTCTCTCTAAAAAAAACCTAGGATTCTGGTTTTTTATTTTTATGTATATTTTTGTGTAAAAAAACCAAGTATTATAGTAAGGTTTTCAATTTACAAATGGTTTTTCTGTTCAGATTTTCTTTTTGTGAGTTTTGTGTATTATGTAGAACCAGCAATGCAAGAGCAGGATGTGATCAGTCACACCCGAAAAGAGGTTTGTTTCTCAAATCACATTCATTAGTTTGATCATTAATGTACTATGGAAGGCTCTTCAATATGATTTTCTAATTTCTCCTTTCCAGCATTCTCTTTTTTGTTTTTGGAGTATGTATGTGATTTATATTTAATTATAGAATAAAAATTAATAAACACGAGATGCAGCAATTAATTTGCATCCTTATGACAACACATGTATGAAAGTGCATTCAATTTCAATGTGTATGTGTGACAGGATGTGCCTGCTTGCTGCTGCTGGGTATGCTTGCTGTTGTTTCTCGCGCAATTTTTTTTTTTTTTTTTTTTGTGTGCGTTGATTTGATTAACAATTCAAGCGTATCTTTATTTTGTTGGTGTGTGTTGGTTCGCAGCCAGTTTTATTTATTGGTTTTTTTATTTGGATTTATAGCACTGAGGATATAGGTGAACGGTGAAGCGGTTTGTATGGGCTCATGTATCTTAAACATGTAGTGAGAAGTGAGGATTTTGTTTTAGTGTTTTAGATAATCTGAAGGAATATGTAGATACTATGATTTGGGGTTGCTTTCTTAAACCATGATAAAGCAGTCCAAGTAATTTTAACATAGATATCATTTTTTATGTAATGCATGAGTTTATGAAATGTTAAGACGATAATATATCATGTGATTTAAAATTCAAAGAGAGACAATGAATCGTGTTTGATATTTTGTTTGTCCTGATTTGTTTAAATTTGGGCGTTTTTCAGTTGGATTCATGGGTTTCATTTAAGATATCATTTTTGGTTTATGAATGGTTTGCCAATGCAAAAGTTTGCATCTTTTCTTTGTTGGATTCATGGGGTTTTCTTAAGCTTTCAAGTTTTTAGTTTTTATCAAGAAATTTTGGGTTTCATTTATTTTTCGAACTACACTTTTTTGTTAAGATTTTCTTTATACTTCAGCAAATGATTGCTTCTAGTTTATGCGGAAATACAAGGGAAAGGAAATATTGAAGAAGAAGAACCCTGCAGAACTGAAGTCGGATCTCTTAATTTAGTAGATATATCAATGCATATGATCAACACATAGTAATTAGACGAAGCTCAGATTAGTGAAAACTTACTTGGGTTTACCGAAATAGCTGAAATAAGAGGACCATAGACTCCTCTAAGAGGGATGCCTATCGTCCCTTTCCCGGCCCAATATAAACGAATCTCCAATGTATTATTAGTTACAAGAGTAGTAAAGTTCTTTATGACTACATCACCAAACTCAGGGGCTTCATCCATGATATTGAAGTCCTCCTCCTCTAGTTTTCCCTGCAATACATACATGTATATATACTAATTTAGTTGCTTAAATTTCATGATTATAAATGTGAAAGTTAACATTCAAATCGACCAAAATATAAACAATGCTTGTTGAAAATTAGAATATTTCACTGGTATACATGGAAGTGGATGCGATTAGTTACCTGAATGTAAATATTGAATATGCGCCTTCCCAAGCTTTTATATGTTGAGCCATTTCTAAACATTATCTCTGCAAAATGGAGGCTTACAGTGTAGTTTCCATTTCCCAGACAAAACCCAAAATAAGTTAGAGAGATGGGAGAAAGGCGAGCGTTCATGTACAGTTGAGGATCGGTCATAGAGAGTCTAGTTTCATTAGTCGATATAAAGGTGTCCGCAGTTTGGTCGTCATCAGGGAAGTAACCGGTGCTGCTTAATGCCCAATTTGTTGTGCTCTGGTAAAATGATGAAGGTCCAGCTTGAAATGTGTCACCATCATATACTGTATCTTTCTCTCCAGGGACAGTAACTTGTTTCCCACCACAATTTATATGGAGAGAGTACAAATCTATGAAAAAAGAAAATGGAGATTAGTAGGCATTGAGGAGGAAAACTAAAAAAGAATGAACCGAGAAAATAAAGGTAATTATTTGTGTAGAAACTCGGCTTACGTTTTGGACACTCTGAAGTTTTCAAACATGAAGCAGTTGTCCTAATAGAATAATTCAAGGAACAGAAATTGTCAGCAATCATAAATGAGAAGTTGCAAAAAAAATTAGTACATAATACACCGTTGGATACCAAAGTAAATTTATAGGTGCATGCTTTGAGACGATTAATTTGAACTTACGAACTATAGCCTTTTGACGAGCTTGTAAACAAGTTACTGCAGAAATTAACACAAACGAAAAGTTAAGCTTTTCTCCACATAACACAAACAGATTAACTTCAAGCTAATGAAGACATTCTTACAGGCCGCCTCGTGGTTGACAATTTGGATCCCCTATGGTGAGGTTGTTATATGAAAGATCACTGCACAAAAAGAGCTATGATGCAAATTCTGTTGAATTGTAATTCTCTAGCTGATTAGACTTAGTGAAATAAGTTATGAGCTTAAGTGTGCATTCACTTGAGTTGTAACACTGCCAAGTGTGAGGTTCAAAGATGTAAGGCAAATAATGCCATGTGTGATGATCCTAGAATATAGTTAGATGTGTGGTTGAGATCACTTTGTGATGTCCAAGGATCCGGCTGTGTTTTGCTAATGGTAATATTCTCTTTGCACGACTTGTGTGAGAGAGAGAGAGTGGGAGAATGTCAAATTAAGAAGGATTTTCCTCGACTGTGTTCTGCAGAGCAGCGAGGACCTACATTCTGTGTGATTTTCTTCATCCTTTCATTTTCATTATTAATCATCTTCCTCCCAGTCCTCATATTCATTGAGGTTTCATAAACCAGAATCAAAGAAGCACTAACAAATTCTTTTCCAGATGTAGTATGTCAGTACAAAAGGAAACAAGGGTGAGGAGAAAGAGGTAGGCATTAACACGGTTCGAATGAAGTTTTTAATATAATAGTTTTATATCTATATTAGTAAAAAAAAAAAAAAAAACAGCATAAATTTCCTTAGCATTTGGAAGAGAAGCTTACACGTTTTTTTTCGGCCAAGCAGGTACAGGTCCAGTCAACAAGTTTCCAGTTAAGAATCTAAAAATAATGAATACAGAAAAACTCAGTAAAGAATATAGTGTTTGTTCTTAGGAATTTCTTTGTAAAGGTCTGAAAATTTGAGTTTGCCAACTCTGGGTGCATTAGATCATTACTTCCATTTGAAAGACACACCTAAGGGTGATCACCTTATGTCAGTTAATTGCATGAGTATTAATGACTCTAATGAATAAACTAAACATTTCATTTCTGAGCAGAAGAGCCGTTTTCATTTTCATTGCAGTATAGCCTGTGACTCATAATTATAGTAATCGTGATTTGAAATATTTCCAGCTTGTCAGGCTGGGGGGGTAACAAGACCACTGAAGAATGTCTGCGTGAATTTCAAGTAAGAAAGACTAGATTGGTCATTCCAATTGCTTACATATAATCCACTTTTGCTAGACTAGAAAAGCTGTCTGGAATATCTCCGGTCAGCTTGTTAAAGCTGAGGTCTCTGCACAAACAAATAGCAAATGCAATTTAGATGTGCTCCCTGCAGAGAGGGAAATGACTTCTGAAAGAGATGTTCTCTTAATAAATACAGAAGCATAAAGTCCGCTCAACATCGTCTAAGTCACGTCAATAATCCTTGAAGTAGTAGAATCACATCTAGAAGAAATTTTTTTATTTGACAACGGAAAAAATAGGGACTAAGACATTTGTGCTTACAAAGTTTTCAATTTTTTCATTTTCTCAAGAAATGGAGGTAACTGTCCAGTAAGGTTGCAACTTCTCAACATCCTGCAACAGAAACACCAAAGCTTTGAGTTTATAGAAGACTTCCGGTACAGACGGAAATTTTGTGTCATGGAACCATTAACTCACAGTGTCTTCATGTTTTTCATCTTATCGAGCTTTGGAATGGGTGATTCAGGTCCACTCAAGTCAGTGATTCTCCTGCATGTTAAAATTGGGCCATGAACATAAACTTCGCATTTCACTAATCGTTTTGGATTTATAAACAGAGACGAGATAGACTAACAAGTCAGTTAAGTTTGTCAAAAGAGAAATGCCAGAAGGAATTGGCCCTGTCAAACCGCTAGCCTGAATCAATCTGTTTCAATGAGTCATAACATATGAATTAGTGATAATATTCAGAATCAAATAGCAGAAATATGATACACAAAAGAAAAACACTCACAGTTTTTCAAGATTTGTCCAGTTCCCAATAAAATCAGGTATCTGCCCGGAAAAGTGACTGTCACTAACCCGACTGCATAATGATTGAAAAAGGGAAAATACTACGAATTAGTATCAGAAAGCAATAAAAAAATTGTATGAGTGCTCAGGAAACCTTTAAGAAGAAAGAACCACAGAAGCTTACAAGTCCTTTATTTTGGTAAGCTTTGCAAATGTTTTTGGCAACTCCCCGCTAAAGTTGTTTGAGGAAAGCAACCTAAGTATGAAACAGATATAAAGAAGTAGATGATTTACTGGTGAAAACATCCAGAATTTGTCTACAAGAAAGAAAATTCCAAATAAACCAAATACTTTTTAACACGGTAAAATTTGAACAGGGCTCTTACATTCTTTCTATGTTGGCCCAAGATCCAAGCTCCCGAGGGAGAGGTCCAGAGAAATTATTGAAACTGATGTCCCTATACAAACAAATTCAATTCCATTGATTAAAAAAACATCATTAAGGATCATCATAGAATCAAATGGGGTAAGCAAGAAACAAATGCGCAATCAACACTCACAAACTCTGCAGAGTGGTGATGTTTCCGAGCTCTTTGGGGATAGAACCTGTCAAACGATTTCCAACAAGGGATCTGCATCAAAAACTGTAGTCTTAAGATCACTTTTATCAAGCAAGTGGATCAATAACATTAACATGTTCGTCAATACACCCCCATGTGTTCGATTCAAAATTTATGATTCAAATGCCTCATGACCACGGAAGCCCATCATCATGAACAAAACCCAATGTAGTAGATTCATAGTTTAAGAAAGAAATGGCTGAAGAACATTGGAGTGACCAAATAAAGCAATAAGAACATGACATGAACATCAAACACAAAAATGCATGCAGTTTGAGAGAAGACAGTACATGTTCAGAAGTGGAAGAGAGCTCCATTCTGGAGGGATGGTACCGCTCAGGTAGTTGCGGGTGAGGTCGCTGAAGGAGAAAGAAAGAAACCAGTTATTGTCTCACTGACAACATAAATAAAGATAAGCTATATATGAAATTAGAATAAACCATTTACACGACACATAGTTATTTTACTTTAAATAATGTAAACTTGGAGGGGTTAAAATGTGCTTACATTTCTTGAAGATAGGCGAGATTTACCAGCTCTGGTGGGAGTGTTCCTTGCAAATCTTGGGCTTTTAGAACTCTGTGTTTCATCGGAAAACAGAGTTTCAAAGATTAGTTGCAAATTAACAGATATCCACTATGCATCTATACTGTGACTAAAAGGAAAAGTTGCCACAGAACAGGTAAAACACTAATTTATCACAGAAAATGCTTACTTTTGGTCAGGGAATTAAATAGGAAGAGGGAACTGGTTTTCTTACTTTAAAACCGAAGGAAAATGTCCAATGTTCTTTAGAAATAATAAAACTTGAGGAATTACACAAACGGTAAATGTGTATTTGTTACAAGCACACTGTGAATCATTCTTTCATTAACTTTGTAAC